TGCACGCACAGCTGCGTTGCATGCGCGCATGCTCCATGTTGTGCGTGATGTGGGTGTGCATGCTCAGGACGGCAGAGCCGGCGTAGCCTGCTTGCTCCTGGGTCACGGTCGGGTCCAACTCTGGTGGCTGCGGCATTTTCATCAAGTTTCATTTGCTATTAACTCCCATGCTTCGTCCCCTGCTGCCGTGGCCCAGGTGATCAAATTCTACCTTGGACATAATTAATTTCCTAATACAAGCTTCCATTCATTGTATACTACATAAACATATCTGTATAGTGCTACCCAGCTATCAGAAGTGTCAGCTATGGTGCCTACTCCTCCCACTTGAATGGCAAGAGCAACGAATCTTCTTACATATTTTCCACTCGCCATCCTCTGCTGAGAAAATATAAAATAATATATATGACGTGACTACGTGTGCAGACACTGCATGCATGGAAAAAAGACGTAACAGCCCGTACAACAATAATCCTAGACACAGGGACCTGTTACGGGTGGGCCCCTGCCTACCCTAATCTCCAATTCTATTGGTCCATTTTAGTTGGTCCGTAAAATCCTTAAGTAAAGATCCGTGTGTCTAGCATTGCCGCCCGTACAATTATTCTACTTTCAAACCAAAAAGACTCAACCCCACACCTGCAGTACCCAAATATATATTTAAAAGCGATATAACTATCACTACTTTATCAAAGAGACTCTAAACCACAAACCTGCAGCACCCAAATATAGATTTGAAAGAGATATAATTATCACTACTTTAGTGATCTAAATACTCTTATTTTATAGAGGGAGTACAAAGCAACTAAGCTCCTTATGATAAAAAAAGCTGATAAAAAAAGCTACATGTCAACTACACACAGTGACGGGGCCACACGCATGGAGTTTCAAGATACAATCGTGTACATGGAAAGTCAAAAAAACCTGTATCCAATTGATAAACTTCCTTTTATCCACCTATTGCAGTCATGATAAAAACATACTTTCCTCCTTTAGCACGTAACAATAACTCATTAATG